TATGAGGTTGTGTATTCCGAGGTCTATTTTCATTTGATTTATTATTTTTTTGTTTTTTTTTTTTTTTTTTGAGATGGAGTCTCGATCTGTCGCCACGCTGGGAGTGCAGTGGCCACCCGATGGCACCATCTTCCAGTCACGCAATGTTTCTGCTGGCTCCCTGAGGTGTGGGGGGGGGTTAATGCCATTCTCGGCTGCCTCAGCCTCGCCTAGAAAGCTGTGGACTACAGGCGCCAGCCACCGACGCCCGGCGTAAATTTTTTGTATTTCAGTAGAGACAGAGTTCACCGTGGTTTGCCAGGGATGTCTCGATTCTCCTGACCTCGTGAGTGTGATCCGCCCACCTCGGCCTCCCAAAGTGCTGGGATTACAGGCGTGAGCCACCGCGCCCAGCCAGTATTTTATTTTCTTTGTAGCAATTGTGAGAGTTCACTCATGCTTTTGCTCTCTGCTTGTCTATTACTGGTATATAGGAATGCTCGTGATTTTTGCACATTAGTTTTGTATCCTGAGACTTTGTTGAAGTTGCTTATCAGCTTAAGGAGTGTTTGGGCTGAGACAATGGGGTTTTCTAAATATACAATCATGTTATCTGCAAACAGAGACAATTTGCCTTCCTCTCTTCCTGTCTGAATACTCTATTTCTTTCTCTTGCCTGATTGCCCTGGCTGGAACTTCCGATACTGTGTTGAATAGGAGTGGTAAGAGAGGGCATCCTTTTCTTGTGCCGGTTTTCAAAGGGAATGCTTCTAGCTTTTGCCCATATGATACTGGCTATAGGTTTTTCATAAATAGCTATTATTTTGAGATACGTTCCATCAATACCTAGTTTATTGGGAATTTTTAGCACTAAGGGGTGTTGAATTTTATTGAAGGCCTTTTTGGCATCTATTGAGATATTCATGTGGCTTTTTCTTTGGTTCTGTTTACGTGATGGATTACGTTTATTGATTTGCATATGATGAACCAGCCTTGCGTCCCAGGGATGAAGCTGACTTGATCATGGTAGATAAGCTTTTTGATGTGCTGCCGGATTCAGTTTGCCAGTATTTTACTGATGATTTTCACATCAATGTTCATCAGGGGTATTGACCTGAAATTTTCTTTTCTTGTGTCTCTGGCAGGTTTTGGAATCAGAATGATGCTGGCCTCATAAAATGAGTTACAGAGGACTCCCTCTTTTTCTATTGTTTGGAAGTTTCAGAATGAATGGTACCAGCTCCTCTTTGTACCTCGGGTAGAATTCGGCTGTAAATCCATCTGGTCCTGGGCTTTTCTTGGTTGGTAGGGTATTAATTATTGCCTCAATTTCAGAACTTGTTATTGGTCTTTTCAGGGATTCGACTTCTTCCTGGTTTAGTCTTGGGAGGGTGTATGTGTCCAGGAATTTATCCATTTCATCTGGATTTTCTAGTTTATTTGCGTAGAAGTGTTTATAGTATTCTCTGATGGTAGTTTGTATTTCTGTGGGATCAGTGGTGATAGCCCCTTTATCGATTTTTATTGTGTCTACTTGGTTCTTCTTTTCTTTGCCTGCCTAGCAATCTATTTTGTTAATCTTTTCAAAAAAACAGTTCCCGGAGTCATTGATTTTTTTGAAGGGTTTTTTGTGTCTCTGTCTCCTTCATTTCTGCTCTGATCTTGCTTGTCTTTTGCTACCTTTTGAATTAGTTTGCTCTTGCTTCTCTAGTTCTTTTAATTGTGATGTTAGGGGGTCGATTTTAGATCTTTCCTGCTTTCTGATGTGGGCATTTAGTGCTATAAATTTCCCTCTTAACACTGCTTTAGCTGTGTGCCAGGGATTCTGGTATGTTGTCTCTCTGTTCTCATTGGTTTCAAAGAACTTCGTTATTTCTGCCTTAATTTCGTTATTTACCCAGTAATCATTCAGGAGCAGGTTGTTGGGTTTCCATGTAGTTGTGCAGTTTTGGGTTTCTTAATCCTGAGCTCTAATTCGATTGCACTGTGTTCTGAAAGACTATTAAGATTTCCATTCTTTTGCATTTGCTGAGGAGTATTTCACTTCCAATTATGTGGTCAATTTTAGAGTAAGTGCTATGTGGTGCTGAGAACAATGTATATTCTGTTGAGTTAGGGTGGAGAGTTCTGTAGGTGTCTATTAGGTTCGCTTGGTCCAGAGCTGAGTTCAAGTCCTGAGTATCCTTGTTAATTTTCTGCCTTGTTGATCTAATATTGACAGTGGGGTGTTAAAGTCTCCCATTATTATTGTGTGGGAGTCTAAGTCTCTTTGTAGGTCTCTAAGGACTTGTTTTATGACTCTGGGTGCTCCTGTATTGGGTGCATGTATATTTAGGATAGTTAGCTCTTCTTGTTGCATTGATCCCTTTACCATTAGGTAATGCCCTTCTTTGTCTTTTTTGATCTTCATTGGTTTAAAGTCTGTCTTATCAGAGACTAGGATTGCAACTACTGCTTTTTTTTTGCTTTGCATTTTCTTGATAAATAACCAAAGGGTGAGTGGTTGATAGAGTGAGCCAGGCCCCGAGCGGTACTGTTGGGAGGTTGTGGGGAACACACAGACATGGGCACCCGTGAGAGCTAGAAGCACGCCACACCAGGGCGGGTCACGGTTCTCGCCCTGCAGAAGCCGTGAGGCCAGCATGTGTTGGTCTGTACTGCCCGGCCTGTGGTGAGCTGTCACACAACTCGTGCAAGTCCAGGCAGCAGAACGTGAACAGAGCCTCATGGGCACTGCTTTTCGGCAATTACTAGCGCGTCTCATTTTCTTGCACTTCATTGTGCGTTTTATAAATTACAGGCGTGTGGCAGCCCCACCAGAGCAACCCTGTCAGTGCCACTCTTCCAGCAGCACGCCCACTCCACGTCTCCACGTCTCCTTGTGGTAATTCTCGCAATACCTCAAACTGTTATTGTATGTGTTACGGTGACCTGTAGTGTCACTACTATCTCGGGGCGCCGATATGAAATGGTGAACTTGATTGATAAATGTGAATGTTCTGACGGCTCTGCTGGTTGGCTGTCCCTCCCCGCTTCCCACCCCCCAGCCCACCACTCTTCAGGCCTCCCTATTCCCTGAGGCACAACATTGAAATTAGGTCAACTAACAACCCCACAGTGGCCTCTAAGTGTTCAAGTGAAAGGAAGAGTTGCAAGTCTCTCACTTTAAATCAAAAGCTAGAAATTTTTAAGCTTAGCGAGGAAGGCACGTTGAAAGCCAAGACTGGCAGGAGAGGCCCAGCTTTCAGCCTAACAGTTAGCCAAGTTGTGAATGCAAAGGAAAAGTTATTTAAGGAAATTAAAAGTGGTCCTCCAGTGAACACACGAATGATAGTGAAACAGCCTTTTGCAGATAGGGAGAAAGTGTTAGTGGTCTGACAGATCAAACCAGCCACAACATTCCCTTAAGCCAAAGCCTAATACAGAGCGAGGTCCTGACTCTCTTCAATTCTGTGAAAGCTGAATGATGTGAGGAAACTGTGAACAAAAGTTTGAAGCTAGCAGAGGTTGGTCTACAAGGCTTAAGGAAAGAAGCCGTCTCCGTAATAGGTGTGAGGTGAGGCAGCAGGCTCTCCAGAAAATCCTGCTAAGGTCACGATGGAGGTGGCCGCGCTCAACCACAGACCTTCAGTGTAGAGGAAGCAACCTTGAACTGGAAGAAGACACCATGCAGGACTTTCATAGGTAGGGAGAAGTCAATGCCTGGCTTCAGAGCTTCGAAAGACAGTCTGACTCTTACCAGAGGCTAATGCTGCCGTGACTTTAAAACCCATTTATGCCTAGTGTTCCATTATTGGAATGCTAAGCATGCGGGAGTTTACATTCTGCTTAAGGTCACTGCCAAGGTCTGACTGCAAAGATTTAAAAAATTGCAACCTCAGGCATAAATGGGTTAAGTTGAAGGCAGTGCTCACCATTCTGAGAATCGTAGGATTCTTAAGAATGAGGCTAAATCTGCTCTGCCCGTGGCTCTAGAAATGGAATGGCAAGGCCCAGGTGGTAGCACATCTGTGCACAGCATGGGTTATGGAATACTGTAAGCGCAGTGTTAGGCCCTCAGAAAAGGAGATTCCTTCCAAAATACGACAGCTCATTGACGGTCACCTGGTCACCCAAGAGCTCTGAGGCCAGTGTACGAGGTTCATGTTTTCGTGCTGACACAGCCTCCGTTCTGCAGCCCATGGGTCTGGGAGCCATTCTAACTTTCAGGTCTTATTGAAGAAAGACATTTTCTAAGGCTGTAGCCGCCATAGATAGTGATTGCTCTGATGGATCTGAGCAAAGTAAATGAAAAACTTTGAATAACCATTGTTCAACTTACCAGGGACATTTAGATGAGTGAGCGGGAGGCTCTGAGAAGCAGTTATAAAATGCAAATTCTACAAATATCTGGTTTAGTGTTTCAGAAACAGCCTTTTCAGGATCGACTTCTCAGGGACCCCCTCCAACCCCATCAGTGCCGTTCTTCCAGCAGCACGCCCACTCCATGTCTCCTCGTGGTAATTCTCGCAATACGTCAAACTGTTATTGTATGTGTTATGGTGACCTGTGGTGTCACTACCACCTTGGGGCGCTCATGTGAACCCCAAGGCACTTGGTGAAAACCCTTCCCAGGGAGTGGGCTTAGCGTGCAAAGGAGGTTCCTCCTTGTCCTGCACACGCCATGTCCTTGGAGGGCCTGGAGCGCCCACGGTCACCTGTCTTGCGTGTTCTTCCAGGGGCAGCTGGCAGTGTGGCCTCACAGCACATGCTTGTTCCATGTCTTGCTCTTTTCACATAATGTAGATTGGAGGTTATTCCGTGTGAAGCCACTGGAGCCCCTGGGCTCTGCTGCTGTGACCTTTCTGTTCAGGGATATCTCCAGCTTATTTGAGCCGTATTAGCAAAGCGACGGGAAACCAGCCCCACATACCCATCCCTGGAGCCAGCGTGTCCACCTTCTGTGTCCTCCACGCCTCCAAATCCCCACGCTGGGGTGTGACATTCATTCTAGCCTAATTTCATCCATTATTGTTTCCCTGATGTATCTCAAAGAGATAAAAACGTTCAAAAGACCATAAAACCACCATTCCGCCACAGAATTCCAAATATCCAATCAATGTTCAGATCTTCCTCATTGCCTTATAAATTGCTTCATGTTTTAAGTTTGCTTGCAGGAATCCGGCAGTGTCCGTGTGACCTCTACGACACGACCTTTCTTTCTGTCTCCCCGACGCCAACGCTCTTTTCGTAGTTCAGCTAAAGGGGCTTCTGCATCCTGCACTCGCCGACCGGGGCCCTGTGGTTTTGCGTGTTCTGCTCCGTCCTATTGAGAGGTGGTCAGACCGAGGCCACCTCAGGCTCCCCTGCGATTCCGTTCGGCAGGAGCACCTCGGGGGTCTCAGGGCACCTCTGTGGCGCTGCTGTTGTGCCTTCCTCCACCGTTAGCTGGAATAGTAAAGAGAAACCCAAGGTTCACGTTCCTCACTAAAACACCCGCTCTTCGATTATACGGATGTTTCATGCATTTGTGATACAGTTACTCACTGATGTACATTTTGGCCATTTGTAATCATTCACTGTTTAAAATGCTGCTGGAGTATTTGTATATATACATAATTTCGCTCAAGTGGCTCTCTGTGGAATAAATTCTAAAAATTTCTGAGTCAAAGGGCACACACATTCAGCCCCAATCTTGCTGTTCACCACCTGCAGCGGCTGTGCCAACCCACCCCCACCAGCGATGGAGCACCTGCCTCGTGCCCTTACAGGGAGGGAAAGCATCTTCTCACATATTTATGAACTGCTTTATTTCCCTTTTAGTAAATTATTCTTGTCATTAGCCCATTTTTCTATTGGTCGGTATTTTCATAAGGAAAGCTCTCTGACGTGCTGCGAATTTTTCTGCCATTTGACATTTTTATATTTATGCCATTGTGATATCAAATTAAATGACTTTCATTTATGGAGTTTGAGTCATTCTGAGACAATCACTCCTGGTTGTGAAATTCAAAAAAACCACATTGTCCAATTTTGCTTCTGGGATTTCTACTTTTTAATTACATCTTTGATACAACTGGAATTTCTTTTGGTAAAGAGATTACAGATGCAAATTTTTCTTTCCATTTGGATACCTAATTGTCCCAACATCGTTTATATCCTGCTTTTCCAGGAATGAAATGCCATCTTTCTATGTTGGTTGTGAACATCATTTGGCACCTGGCAGGGCCAACCCTCATGGTGTGTGTGTGAACACATCCCTAAACCGTAGTCTAATTTACCCTATTTTTGTAGTTCACGTGAGCAGAATCCAGTATCTGTGTTCTTGCATCTGGTTTTCACTCCACGTGTTTGGGGTGTGTGCACATCCCCTGTGTGTGCTGTGGACTTGATCCATGTCCCATGTGCAAACGCCACCCCACCCAGAGGCCACGCCAGGACCCAGGCCTGTGGGCCGTGGTTCCCAGTTTGCTCTTGCAAGGACACTGTGTCCTCCTGCGTGGGAGTCCCTGCTTCGGGTCTCATCCTGGGAGTGGAAGGCAGGTCGTGGGTGTGGCTGCGTCCTTAGCTTCTCTGGATGATACCCACCAAGAGGCTGGCCTGGGAACACACCGGGAGCCAGAGGGCCCAGCCGCACAGCTCCCTCGCACTGGGCTGGGCACTTGGTCACCAGCAGTTTGGGGAATGTGTTCTCTTGGTGGTTTCAGGTGGGAGTCTGAGCATCAACCCCGTGTCCGCTGGATGCTGGAGTTCTTTCCTCTCTGGCGGTGTTTCTCATCAGGGTTCCCCACCCGGCTACTGCACGCTGCGTCTCTCCTGACCTGTAGGAGTCCTCTATGCCTCTGGCTGCTCACCTTTGTTGGTTTAATGTTTTGCAAATGTCTTCCTCTGTTTTGTGCTTTGCTTTTTCATTCTTCTAATGGAACATGTTGCTTTACAGAAGCATCTAGTTTTAACAGTCTTGTTTAAGATGGTGTCAACACGCACTGGGCTGGCCTGGTCCCTGAACTCAGGTGTTTCCTTTGCAAACTCGAGAGAGACGAGGAAGGACAGATAGTGGCAGAGCGTGTGGAAATGTTTTCCAGGCAGGATGGCTTTCATTCAAGTGACAGCATCATTTGAGTGACAACAGTGGTAGGTGGTGTAATGGATTCTGACGTGGTGGGGGTAGGGGGCACGGCCAGGCTTCGATTCCTCCTGCTGGGCCCAAGGACCGAGGACTGTGATGGGAGTGCATGGTCCCTCCTGTGTCCTGCCAGAGGCCAGAGACTTGGGTCCACCACTGTGCCGGGATATGTCCTCAAGAGCTTCTTCAGGAGGTGCTGGGGTGCAGGGCATGTCTGAAAGGCATTTCTGGACACCTGCTGTGGCCTCACACAGGAGAGTAGGCGGCCTAGCCAAAGTCGGCGCACAGGACAAGATAAAGCATCCAGCGACCCGGGGTCACGGCCCTCACTCCACTGCAGGGGTGGGGATGAGAGAGGCCAGAGGGGATCAGACAGGGCCAGCTGTTGATGGTTCTGAGATGCAGTTTCTGTCTGAGGGGCCTCCTCCCACTCCTGGCCTCTGCAGAGGGGTGGGTGTGTGGAGGGAAGGTGGGTCTGCCCTGGTCGAACAGCAGAGGCATTGCCTGTTAGTCTCATGCCATTCCGAGTGCCCCCAGGGAGAGTCAGCCACCTTCTGCAGAGAGGCAAGGCCAGAAGGCAGGGGCCTTCCCTCTGGTGACCACCAGGGCCTGTGGTACAAGCAGTGCCGGCTGCTGTCCTCTCTGACCCTTGTCTCCTTCCAGCCTCTCCACTATTAGCAGAGGGGCAGAAGTTCATAGTAGACCACTTGACAGGTCGACACAGGCCATCCCCAACCCCTGGCCCTGGAGGAGGCTCCCCAGTGGCCTCCTGGAGCCAGGAGAGATGGAACTGAGCTGTATCTGCTGCTCCCGACAGGACCTCACAGGGGGCGCCTTTGAGGACAACCTGAGGTCGCTGCACTTGCAGGAGGGCCAGGACTTCCTTCACTTCAGCTGACGGACCCACGGCAGCTGCTCCCAGGTGGGTCTTTTCACCGAAGCACCGTCTGAGTTTGTGCCTTTATGATGCTTAATTTCCTCTACATTCTGCTCTTATTCTTATTTTCTTTACAGTTAGTCGTCTGCTTATGTTCAGCTCATTAATTTCCAGCCTTTCTTCTCTAATGTATAATTCAAGACTTCAGAATCACTTAAGCACCACTTTAGGTGAATTCTATCTGTCGTGATTATTTTATCTTTCATTATATATTTTATAATTTTATTTCTTTTAAAAACATCTTTTAAAAATTTGTGTGTACACACACACACTTGGGTTCTGTAACTGTCCACTGGGTCGAGCTTTTCTTCTTCAACCGTGCCTTATGACACTTTATTGAAATGTATCAATTCAGTAAAATACACTGTGGTAGTAGATGATCAATTTCTTCTTCAATGTTTGCTTTAGTATCTTCTGAGACTGGGTTACAAATGTAGGAAAGTTCTATCATCTTCCTGTTGAACTGAGCCTTTAATCATCATATAGTAATCTATTCCTAATAATTTGCCTTCCTTTAACTGGAGAACATTGTCATTAACATAGAGGTTTTAATCCATTTACATTTATTGTGCCCTAAAATATTTATTTCTTGTGTGTGTGTGTTTTGCAGTGTTCTGCCTTTTCCTCTTGCCATTCTTGCATATTTTGATAGTGTATTTTTTATTCTTGTTCCATTTCTCTCCTACTAGTAGCACAGAAGTTATCTTCCCCATATATTAATTGTTTGTGACTCTAAAAACTTCAACATGCACTTAGCCAAGCTGATAACTGAATTATCTGCACTCTGTTCCAGGAGAACATAAAGACTTAAGATGCTCTAAATTCAGCCACCAACTCTGCTGCTGACTTATATGCTGCTGTTGTCCATTTAAAGCAATTCTATATGCTTTAAAAAAATCCACATATCAGCCATCTTTCTGTTTTTATGGTCACAGTTTATTGCTTTCCTTGCTCCACATTCCTCCAACTATCCAACTGTGATCATTTCCCTCCTGCCTAAAGTTTATCCACTAAAGCAGTGGTTCTCAACCAGGGATGAATTCACACCCAGAAGATATTTGGCAATCTCTGGAGACATTTTTTTTTTTCCTTTTTTCACAGCTGGGTAGGGGGATGGCTACTGCCATCTGGGATGTTGCTGAATAACCTGCAATACACAGGACAGCTCTCACAACAAATAACTCAACCCCAAATATTAAGCCAAGATTAAAAAACCAAACATGCATTAGAACAGCATATTTTTATCTAAATGACTTAATTTTGTTCTCTTCTTTAATGTTATGCTATGGGCACAATTCAAGCAACTTAACAGCTATTTTCTCTCAGCCTAATGAAGATCTTGGTCTACTCCTTCCTCAGCTCCAGGGCTGCTGCTGGGAAATTGGTAGTCATTTATATCACTCTGTCCTTCTTACAGTTCTGCAGTTTCACTGTGGCAGGTCTGAATGTGTGAGACTGTTAGGCTTCTGTATCTGGGGACTGTCGCATGTCAGTATGGAGTATCTGCATCATTTCATTTCATTCCGAGACCCCAATTACCCAAACGTTAGACATTCTTCAATGTCTCTTGATGTTGCTTTCATCTTTTCCAGTTCTCCAGATAATTTTTTCAGATCTTCCAGTTTTCTAACTCTCTCCTCAGCAGTGTCTAAGCTATCCATTGAGCTTTTAATTTCACTTCTTACATTTTTAGGGGCTCTATTTTTTTCAAATCTCTTCTTGATAATTTCTAGCCCTTTTCAAAAATGTACTCATAGCCTACATTCTTCCAGAGAGGTTTTATATTTGCATCTTCTGCCCCTTGTCTGGAAATACCACTGGTCAAGGCCAAGTCAATCGAATTTTCCACTTTAGGAGTTTTGGGGATCATACAGTTAGTATTAATTCAGGCCACTTCAGGGGAGATTGAGGTAAGAGTCTTGCGCTGTTCCTTTGAGAAAGATGTATTTAGGGTCCCAGCTCTATATAGGGGTCTCCTATTAGATCTGGCCCTGGGCCTTACATCCTCTCATCCATTCTGCTATCAAAACAGCATGACTGGACTCCAGGGCTCAGCAGAAACCCTCAGGATCTCCAAGATCTCTGCTTTCACATGGAGGGTTTCTGGTTTGTGCCTAGAATGTGTCTGTGGGTGCACAAATCCTGCACCAGCTCCCCGGTTCCAGGGATACTGGCTTCTTGCTGCTCTCTAAACTCACAAAGCTTGCTCCACTTCTGGGACCACAAGCATTCTCTTTTCTGCCATTGGGCAGTTTGGACTTCTGCCCAAATGCTGCCCCTTCAGAGCAGTTTTCTGAACACCTCTCCTAGGGGTCAACACCCAACACACCGTTGCATTGCCCACTTTATCTTTCTTCGTAGTGCTCAGTATTGCCTGCCTTGATGGTGCTTGCTTGTTCATTTGCTATCGTCTGCCCAGCTATCATGTGAGCAAGGGGTTCCTCGCCAAACTCCATCACCTGGACCCTGGTGGGCTCCACAAACGGCTGCTGAATGAAAGAGGCTTTCCAGGCCACCAGTTACCTGGTGAGCACAAGTGCCCCAGTGATGGATGGGATCCAGTAGGAAAGAGACAGTAGCCAGTGGAGCGATCCACTTTCCTTGGGTTGCTAAGTTAGACCGACATTGAAAGAAGAACTGCTTTGCCCTGTGACTGATGGGCCTGGGTGAGGAATCGACCTGCCTCCATGTCTTAAAATGCCATTTCTCTGGAATCTTCTTTTAATTGCACTAAGAACAGTTCATCATGTTTTTCTCAGAAGCCACTTGTTCCCTCCATCCTCAGTGCATCCCAGGCCGGCAGGAGCTTCGTGAGCTGCAGGCATAGCAACGGTGCACCCCAGTTCCACACCCAGCAGGCGCAACCACAGAGTCTCGTGTGTGCTGACCACAGGAGCCGAACCTTTTCCACCGTGTGGACTCATGTGGTCAAGGCTGGGCCTGGTCACCCAGGACCCTCACCACGTGACCCCAGCCAATCGAGGGGACAGTTCGAGGAGGAGGAGACCCCAATTACACAGGTTGGAATAAAATGTTTAAATCTCGTAAAAATGTAACACAAGGCTCTTTTAAGGGATAAAGACTATTGGCCACCAGGTCAAGCACAAGAACGGTAGTGTGTTAACCCCACACTCCTGTGTGGCCAGGTCATCACACACATTCCGTGAACAGCTGTCTGCTAAACAGACAGCATGAACTGTCACAGTCCTGGCCTTGTGGTCCTGGTGACCTCACAAGTGAAAACCACGACTGAGCCTTGCCTCACAGATGCAGGCGGCATCTCCCAGTTCTGGGCCTGCCCATGTTCCTGTGTCCAGACCCCATCCCCACCTGAGAGAGCAGGCCGGGGAGCCACCCCAGTCTACACCACGCACATGGCACCCCTGGGCTCTTCACCCAGGGAAAGTGCTGCTCACCCAAGCCCTTGGGCCTCTGAGTGGCCACACCTAAGGCTGCTTTGGTGCTGCTGGCGGTGGGGCGGTGGTTCTGCACCTCCAGCCCTGTGAGCACAGCACAGGTCCCAGGTAGATGGGTGTGGGTTGCTACCACAGTGAAATTTTTATACACGTTCCCCTCACCAGCTTTGGGATGGATCAGCATGAGCTCAAACACCGAGACAAAGGTAGCCTCCTGCCCTTTGCTTAAAAACCCAAGTGTAGACTCTGTCCAGGCTCTCCAAAGCCAGTGTAATCGTTTCAGGAATTGTATTTCCCGCATTATTGTAGAGGCACACATTGGACTCTGACAATTCCCCTTGCAGCAGACATTTGTGAAGCTGCTGGTCTGCACACCCATCAACCAGTGACCCCTGCACTGCAGGGGGACCACATGCACGATGCTCACGTGTGCACAGGCGGGAGGACAGCACCCCCACCAGGCAGATGGTCCCAGAAACAGCATCTGCGCAGCACTCCAGACCATGCCTGCCACCAGGGCTTGTCAGTTCTCTGGCCATTTGAACCTCTGATTTAACATTCATTTCTCTCCAAGACTGGGCAGACCACCAGCTGTGGCCAGACGTCTCCCACAGCAGGGACAGCACCAGGCGAGAAGGGGGCCTGGTCTCCAGGCAGGAGGAGTGGAACCCAACCCCCTCTGGCTGACCCCTGGGCAGTGAGCCCCTCCATCACCCTACACGCATCAGGCTCAGAGACAAAAGGCAGGAACTTCTTGGTACATGATTTTATAGGAAGCACATCTGTGTTCAAGTGAAGGCAGAGGCATCCACCCCAGGTCATTAGGGCAGGTGCAGAGAGGAAAAGCTGTCAGCTGGTGCCAGCCTCCGAGGGCCAGTGCTACCCTTCAACAGCTGGAGGCACCACCGTGCCAGGCTTTCCACACCGGCCTCCCTCAGGAACAAGACATCCCCACCAGGCAGGGGTAAGGTACGGGCTCCAGGACTGGCTTCAGCAGGCGTGAGGCTGCAGAAGAGACAGGACAAGCTCAGGCTGGTCAGCTCCATCACACACCATTCCCAGCCAGGGGACCCTCGCCTCTCTGGGCCCTGTGTGGGGACTGACACTGGGTTCCTGCAGGAAACTATTTGTGCCGTTTCCCCACACGCGGGAGCCTGAGCTATGTGGCTGACAGGCGCTCATGACTAACGTGTCCTCGGAACGGCACCCCGTCTGGGGAGCGGGAAGAGAGGTTCACTGCACTGCTCTTAACCTGCATTCACACGTTTGAAATTTTTCCTAATAAAAATGTAAAAAGCACATTTAACTCCAAAGTCTGCTGTTGAGTTCAGCCTTTACACACAGAAATGGGGAGGCTGTGTCCTGATACTCAGCCGGGCCCGACTGCCCCCATGGATCTGGATGTGGTTCTCCTCCCCTCCTGCCGTATGAAAGGGGGCTGAGAGGAAGGAGCCGACCCAGGTAACGAGAGAGACAGGACAGCGACCGGGGGCCCAGCCCCCGTGAGAACTGAGGCACTTGTTTTTGTTACTTTAGAAGAAGAGTGACGGGCTGCTGAGGTGCACAGGGCAGCTTCTGGGGACCTCTCACCCAGCCCTGGGCCCACTCGTGGGAGGCAGATGAGGGGCAGGGAGGCACTCTTGGCATTTGGGAGTGCAGACCCCAGGGTCAGGCATGAGGAGCCTGGATCAAGCTGATGCCAACCCTACCCCCTCCCCAGCCCCCCAAACATGCCCCAGAGCAAGTGGCCTAGATGCCACAGGGGCCCACAGGTGCGGGCAGTGGCCAGAGAAGGCAGCTCTGCTGGTCCCGTAATCCCAGGGGTCCTGACATGAGACGAGGGAATGGACCGTGTGGATGCACTGGCAGAAGCTGAGCACGGCCGCTGGCCCCAGAACATTCGAGGGCTCGGGGAAGCACAGACGCCTCATGCTGTGCAGGTGACAGCGTTACCTGGGGCACCAGCTGGGGCCTGGGCACACCCAGGAGGTCACACAGACGGTTGCGCTGCTCTCTCACGACTGCAAGCTCCGCGTCCCTGTGAGGAGAGGGAGCCAGGAATCTCTCAAGTGCCCACCTTACAACCTCAGGTGTGCAAAGGCCCCACGTCAGCTTCCACGGCAGCAATCGGGGAAAGGAGACCTCACCCCAGACATCTGCAGCCAGGCCGAGGGCAGAAAAGCCATCACAGGAGCCCGTTCTCCAACAGGGCCTCAGGCCCGAACCTTTTCCAGAATCGCAGGACAGTTCGTTCCCAACAAGGGTCGCCCCTCGGGGAGGACCACACCCACACCCAGTGCAGGGGCCGCAGGAGGACAGACCAAGTGAGGCCAAGGAAGAGCTGACAAGGATTTTCGAAGTTTTAACTCAGCTGTTGATGCCAAATAAAAATTCTAGCAATGCCAATGCTGTGGAGATGTCTGGGGCATGTGTTTCATTTGTAATTTAAAAGATTCTCTTTAACTTCTAAGGATTTTTTTTTTTTTTTTTAACAGAAAGGGGATTAAACTATAGGAGAAGCCCCCAGGCCCACCCTGCTAGTTCCTCCCTCCCTGACATGAGGAAAGGAGGCTGCCCCGGCCCAGCCTTGCTGGAGGAGGCCTCAGCCCGCTCGGGACGCCTGGCTTCTTCACTGTCCTAGAGCCAATTATTTTAGAATCTGACCCAGAATGCACCTTGGTGTTCTAAAAACATCATTTTAAAACGTGTCTCCAGAGCAGTAGTTAAGACGGCCAATCTCTCAATGGATGTTGAGAAGACAGCCCAGCTGCTCCTGGTTCCTCTCTTGGGACCATGGGTTTGTTCAGGAGCAGAGACACTCACTCCTCCCCAAACCAGAAACCCTCGGGGACGCCCTGGAGAGGCCACCTCTGTCCTCCGAGGCCACAGCAGCTGCCCGGCGCCTGAGCTCTGTGGGAACCCAGCCCTGTCGAAAGGTCACTGTTCCAAGGAGACACCTCGGGAACGTCACCCTACGTCCTGGCTGGCTTCAACAGGTGGCACGGACCCCACAGACCTGTAGCAATGCACCGAGATCAGCACGGAGGCCCTCACAGTCGGCGCTCTAAACAGAGCAGCCGACTGGGACTCAGCAGCACCTGGGACTCCACCACCCCGGGTGCGCCACGGGGACGCCCACACAGCCTCTGGGTGCTTCAGTCCTGATCTCCAACACGGGGTGACGAGACTGCTCCCCTTTTATAGGTGAGTGTGCAAGTGAGCATGTGTGTGAGCCAGCGTGGGTGCACATGCCCCCGTGTGTAAGGCACCATCACTGGTGCTCCCAGGACCACACCGGTTGGCCCAGGACACCTAAGCCTGCACTTTCCCCACTCTGCTCTCTCATTCAGACCGTCCTACCCTGCAACTCAACAGACACATCTTTCAAAACTGCCATTCTAATCCACCCACAGTAAAGAAACCAGCCCACGTTGTAAAGAAACATGTGCCTGCCACAGTAAACGTGGAGAGTGGCGCTGTGGCCTCCTGAGGGTCTCCCGGCCCCGGGGAAGGGGGTGGACATCAGAGCAGAGGCGTGGGGAGAGCTTTTCTTGTTTCCGCCTGTGCCTCTTCATTTCCTACAGGTGCTCAGGCGGCCTATTCTGAGAAAACTGAAGAGAGGCCCAAGAGGCCCTCCCTGGGGGGCGCCTGGGGCAGCAGTACCCGCCAAGCCTTCAGTGCCCTCGGCTCAGGGCCACCAGACACAGCCTTGTGGTGGCACAGGTGGCCGTCCCCCTGGTGGGATGGATGGCTTTGCTATGTTTCTGACACCCGACAGTATTCGGGGACAGGGTGGTTGAGGTTTCGGCTACAGCACCACTGCTGCCTCACAAAATCCAAGCAGAGGCTGTCGAGACCTGGGAGCCCTCTTTCCTCCTATCAGAGGGTTTTGGGAGAGACGAGTAGACGTGGTGGGGAAGGGGGCGGCGCCAGGCCCAGGTGGCCGTGCAGGAAGGGCCTTCACTCACCACGCAGTGTCGCTGAGCACAGTCACCACCTCGTCCAGCACGTCCGCGCCCACGACGTCACTGTAGGTGAGCAACGTCTCGTACACCTGGCTGGCCGTGCTCTTCCGGATCTGGGACAGGGACGCAGTGCATTGGCGGGAGGGAAGCACCACTGCCCCACCCCGAAGAAACGACAGGACCAGGTCAGGGAGCCCCGTCAGTGAAAGGCGTCAGGAGGAGGGCTCTGACCCTGCATCCCATCCCAGCCACAGCAGGAGGCGCCTTCCACGTCCATTAACTACCTCCTCCCTCCACAGACACACAGCTGCAGGCTCCCAGCAGTGAAGATCACATCATTCTTGTTTAAATGCTCTGTGAACCAACGTGCTCCCTCTCCAGAGAAGCAAGCTCGCCTGCTTTTTTCCATCAGGGAAGCAATCACACCTGCTCTCTTTGCTAGCGGTGCCCTGGTCATCACGTCTCACTGAGCTGGTGGTCAGAGCCCCGGGCCCACCCCTGGAGGTGCTGAGTCAGCAGGACAGGGCCCAGGAACCGCACGCTGAAGCCCCAGAGGTGCTGAGGCTGAGGGTCCAGCACCCGCTCGAGAACCGCCGTGTAACGTGAAGTTACTTTTGCCTTTTAGGAAAACGTCACCTTCAGATCATCTGAGGTTTTTTGGCAGCCAGGAGAAAAATCCTAGAATTCTAACAGCTGGGGAGTGCTGGGGATGAAGGGCACTGCCCCAGGTGTGTTTGAACCACTTCAGCCTGGATCCTTCTGGAAGCTCCTGAGCCAGTTCCCACGGCCAGGTCACCCCTCGATTTGTGTCCATAGAAATGCCAGCCGGACACCCCATCCTTGAAGCCAGAACACTGACGTCCGAGCCCCTTGACGGCTGCGTGCCTGGGATGCACCATCACCCAGGCGTGTTACAGAGGGGGCTCGGCTGGAAAGCACACCAGCGCAACAGTGCCTTCCAAGGCCTCTGTGTCACCAAGGGGCTTGAGTCCACACAGCAAACACACATGAACGGGGGAGGCACTCACCAGCGGGAAGCGGTGGCAGAGGAGCAGACACAGCTGCAGGAGGGCACTCCTCCTCACGTTGCCGGGGAACTGCACCATTTCGCAGAACCTGCCCAGAGCAGCAGACCGGCCGGGTGAGCCCCGCCCCCACGCAGGCAGCACACCGGCCGGGTGAGCCCCGCCCCCACGCAGGCCGACCCCAGGAAGCCCCCGACCCCAAGACCCACACAGAGACCGGGGGAGAGCAGATCCGTGAGCACAGTGTGGACCTGGAGCCCTGAGCCAGAGGTGTGTCTGTGTGCACATGTGCACTGTGCCTGTACAGGCGTGAGTGTCACACTGGGAGAGCCCACTGTGGGAAGTGAGGACGCTTCAGAGGATCTCCTGCAGGGCTGCTCGCCCTGCCACAAGGACCCCCGCCTCAAAGAGCCACAGAGCAGCCAAGGTGCCTATCGCTGGCTGGCGCACCTGCCCAGTGTCCACCTGAGCGCCGCAGAGCAAGGCACTCGACAGCGACCCCCTGGGCACACAGAATCCGGGAGGCAGCCCCTGACCACATACCTCCTTTGTGGGGCCTCCCTTCCCCCCAAGGCAGAGCGTGAGGGCAGCAGGGGCGGAGCTCGCCTGTTCGGGCACCAGCACCTGGGCTGCCTCGCCTCCCACTGCAACGGCTTTGGATATTGGAACGCACAATCCTAGCTTAGCTCGGAGGGGTAACACTTGACTGCTCCTCTCCCGCTAGAGCTGCCCTCGGCCAAGGGAGGCTGCGCCCTGCCGTTTGTGTCTAAGGCCAGCAGCACTTGAAACTCACACGGGAGGCCGGCACGGTGGCTAAGCTGTAATCCCAGCACTTTGGGAGGCCGAGACGGCGGATCACAAGTCAGGAGATCGGAGACCATCCTGGCTAACCCGGTGAAACCCCGTCTCTACTAAAAAATACAAAAAACTAGCCGGGCGAAGGTGGCGGGCGCCTGTAGTCCCAGCTACTCGGGAGCTGAGGCAGGAGAATGGTGTGAACCCGGGAGGCGGAGCTTGCAGTGAGCCGAGATCTGGCACTGGCACTCCAGCCTGGGTTGACTGAGCGAGACTCTGTCTCAAAAAAAAAAAAAAAAAAAAAAAAAAAAACTAACGGGATGGCTGACAGCAGTTTCTGGACGTCTTTCGAATTCTTGATTTCTTTCTTACAAAGCGCAAGCAACTTCACAGCAAAGGGGTGGCTGGAAGAACAACACACTCTTTAGAGATGAGCTTTCACAGGCAGCCCCGGGACGCACACTTCTTCTGTCTGAAAGAAGGTCAACTCTGTCCTCCCAGTGCTCAGTCCAAGAAGCCTGCAGCCCTGTGGGCCCCTCTGCCGGCAAGTCCGCTGGTCCCCATCCCGGTACCTCCACAGGCCGGCCTGGTCCCTAGCTGCTGTGCCACCACCTGGCCGGCCTCTGCTCTCTCTCACCTGTGGTGCAGCAGCCCCCACGGGGCCGCCACCTCCCTTCCCAGGCCCCAGGGTCCGTCCCCAACACAGCAGCAGCCAGGATGCCCGTGCTCCTCCACCGCCCTCTCCAGAGGCTGCCTGGCCTGGCTGCTGCAGAGCCGGGGGAATTTGCCGACACACAGAGGACACAGGGCTGTGCAGTGTTGTTTGGAGCCTGCAGTGGCAGCAGGGACAAGGGCTGAGCTTGGTGCTGACAGAGACGCAGCCCCGATGAGCAGCTCTGAGAGGCCCCAGAAGGCCACTCCAGGGAGGAGAGGGAGAAGACACGCACCTGCCTCTCAGTGGGGGATGCAGCCACGTTCCAGCCACCCGACAGGCCAGGAAACCCTCACTGCTGAACACAGGTCAAGGAGACCCCAGGCTGCTGCTGCCCTCCCTCAGGTGCCCAGAAAAGGCAAACTAAGGTCCTGCCTGCCAAAACGCAGGCTTAGCCCAGGCCTTGGCTTGCTCTGAAGTGGAACCCCTCAAACGCAACGTCCGGAGAGT